ATGATAAAAAAATGCAAAAATACTTTTAATGTTTAAGTTAGATTTTTAAGTTAAGGTTCGATAAAGATCGTTCATGTTCAGTTAGGAATTTGCAACAAAGTATTGAACCAGAAACGCTCTTGTGAGTCGTTGTAGGAACGCCAATATTTTTGCTAAATCTCATTATAGTTATACCTTGATGACTTTTACATTTCGAATAAAAATTTGTAAAAATTATTTCTCGAGACGCACAAATTTTGTGCCTCTGAACCTAGTGATCGTTCCCTAGCTGTCCGTAAATTGTCCCTGTCCTCCACTCTGTCCATGTGTCCACAAGACACTGCCGACCCACGCTGGACCATCAACATGACAGACACTGCCTGTCATCAGCAGTGCTTGTTTGCTTGTCACTCGCGATTGAACTGCACATGAAACTGAGAGTTTCGGCGATATTATTTGGCGGCGGCAAATCAATAACCTGCTGCTTGTCTTGTCTTGTTGTCTGGTCAATAACCTGCTGGTTGTCTGGTCAATAACATGCTGGTTGTCTTATCAATAACCTGCTGGTTGTCTGGTCAATAACCTGCTGGTTGTCTGGTCAATAACCTGCTGGTTGTCTTGTCAATAACCTGCTGGTTGTCTGGTCAATAACCTGCTGGTCGTCTAAGTCTAGTTTCCAGTACGCCCCTCCATAACATTCTGCAGGCGGCTTTCAAGAAACCCAATAATTATACACATTTTTCGCATCGTGCTGCCAATTCTCTTTTCTTATTCAGCTTCTATGCTTTATTATATTGGACCATTAAATAATATTTTGGAAGTATGAAGAGAATTGAAATTGCAGCCCAAAGCTGGAATTAAAGCTAGAGAAAAGCTGTCGATATTCATTGGAATGGTCGCTGTCTTAGGGCAGTATAGTCCTCCTTCCCCACACGTACAAATACTGACGTCACCACTCAAATAATATAGATTTTATTTCGTTCACGACTTCGTGTGTGAAAATAATTTTCGTGTGAGTATTCATTTCGCTGAAAGTATGTTTTATATTCTGTTGGAATGGCTTTCGAACAACTTAATCAACAGTGTCTTTGCTTATATTGGATAGGAGCTTCACAGACAAAACAGAGAGGTCATATGAATTTTTTAGGAGAGGAAGAACTGATTAACTATTACAAGTGTTTCGTGAATAAAATCTTGATACAAAGTTATTTTGTAGTGGAGTGCAATTTGTTATAAGTTATTCTCATCATTAATGAATTCATTAAAAGTAAATTATCAATGAAGTGCGAATGCTAGAAAATTCTGAAACTTCACGAAAGCGCAGAAACATATTTAATTTTCCAATATTGCGTTAGATATTGCAAATTTACCAAGGCAAAATGATCCATGAAAATTTATGTAGGACTGATACTAAGCTTTGTGAAATTATATTTCGTTGCAGCTCCTGCTTTATGATTAATTATGATTCTTCGTGAAGATCAAACGTTACTCACGGCTAGTAATTAGGCGCCTAAGACAGGGCGATCAGATTAACAAACTCATCTTGCGCCCACCTTCTAAATAAACGTTGCACTACGCATGCTAACTGAACATTATCCGCTACGCATGCTTCCTACCAAAATATAGTTCACTACGCATGCTAACTGAACATTATCCGCTACGCATAACCAAAATATAGTTCACTACGCATGCTAACTGAACATTATACGCTACGCATGCTTCCTACCAAAATATAGTTCACTACGCATGCCAACTGAACATTATACGCTACGCATGCTTCCTAGATAAATCTGACACACTATAGTCTGCACAGAACACACTCCTTTAACTAAATATAATACATTATTCAAGGCTACAGGGCTTCGCTTCATGCAAAGTCTGCTGGTAAAGGTGAGGGATTGCGCTCACGGATGAACTGAGTTCTGCGTTCTTTGCTGCTGACGCCGACAAAAATCGTGCGCTAGGAAAAACTTGCTCATAAAATTACCATCAAACTTAAAAGGAAGCTGGGAAAGTTGTACATTCCTCGTCGTGACCGTGTATTTCAAGGCACGTTTTCTGCACGCGCATACCGACGCGATTCCTAAGCTCGTTATTTATGCACTAGTGAGACTTGAGAATAAAAATGAATTAAATTAGTTGCACGTCACGCCAGCTACAACATTAGCAGTGCGAGGAAATTTGTTCTTTAGATAATAAAAATTTAATGTAAACGTTACAGCAGAATGCAATTATGGAAGGTGATGCAGGATCAACAAGGGCGTTAAGGGCGTTGAAAATGAACGGAGAGTAATTTTTCGCTAAATGCTCTTATTCTGAATGTAAATGATGCTTATACGGCAGGCATTTGTTGGATGCGGTAATCTTTGTGATTATCATGGGAATAACTTCCTATTTCTAGAAGCTACCACAACGCTGGCGCACTTAAAAATTATTCGTAATTAATGATAAAGATAACTTATGGAAATTCAACAGCAAGTTCTAACTGTATTGCTATTTTCATTTTTTGTCTAGTTTTTCCTGGAATATATACCGGCACTGATTTATTCTAAAAACCAAGTATTTTCCACGTCGCAATGCGAACACTCGTTAATTACACCACACGTTTGGGAAAACTATCTTTTCATAATTGCATAAGTAGGAAACTAATAGAATTTAATGACTGTGCCAGCGTTCAACATTAAGCCCTACTAATGAACAATAGCGCTCAGCAGTGGGAATTGTCCCTGTTTCTATTGCTAACCGGGACAAACTCTGTTGTCTCGTCTCGTCTCGAATGGAAAAAAGGATGAAACGCAGGAGGTCTAACCTCTGCAGATTCAGATATTGACCGTTGATGACGGCTTCTTTGGTTATGAGTTCATCGTTTCATAATTTTATAATGCATTTTGAGCAATAAATGACGACACAAGAAAATATTAATGATAAGTAGAAAATGGTATTAATTACGCTGGCAACCGTCGTCATCGCCAGAACACAAAAATAGCCCGCTGATTTTTTTATTTAATTTTTAGGACCATAACGACGTGGGTTAAATTCACTTCCTGCTAGCAGTAGTCACACGAAGTTGCCTCAAAAAGTTCGTGGAAAAACAACAGTTCGAAAATACTATCAAAGTCATAAGGTTTACTCGGTTCAAATGTTGATATGTTAAAAGCGAATGTTTTTTTTCGTATATACGAAATCATCCGAACGCTGTTTTATATAATATAAATTCATCTAATTCAGTATTAACTCGTGACACATCATAACACTTGAATAAATTCCACGTGAATAACGGTAACATCACGAGCAAAGCAAACTACAAATGCTGTTGCTGTGCCAATGGTACTTTGAGCAACGGCGTGCGTGAACGTAAGACGCGTGTGCGTGAAAACGTACACACAAAGATCAAAGGCACGCCTAAGCATGCTATGATACTGCACTAGCAGCAGGCCTGAGGGAAACTCAGTGACCGTTATCTTGACGAACGAATTTTTCATTTCATGACGAACGACTTTTATCATTTGCTAAAATGGCACGAAGGTAATAATGCCGTTCTCAGAGAACGTACTCACGTTACTGTATTTATTGTAATAGAATTATTACTTAAATAAGAATTCCATTGATACAAATATATTAATGCGTACTGTGATTATTTTTCTTAAAGAGAGTAAACTGAGCAATAAAGTCTCTAAACTAATAACGGGATTACCAAGTTGAAAGCTACTATTATGTTACCAAAGAATGCACGTCTTCAATCATAGTACTGAATGCAACAAAGTGTAACTATGTTTCACGATGAAAGACTGTATAATGTTAATTCTTTTAGAATATAACAAGATGTATTAACATAATAGCTTGACTACTGTACGCAATTACGTATGCAGAAAAATGAGTTGTCAGTTAGACTGTTATTGAGATGAATTGTCATCGTGATAAATTCACGTTGCTAAAAAATTACAACATATAGAGTATAAAATGAATGTTGTATAACTTAAATAGTCAAACTATGGCATTTTATGATCAATGTAAAATTGACTATGCTATTTAAGAAATGTCGTAAGACGATTATTCACAATATGACTATTATATGACAAATAGAATTGCGTGTATGGATGTGCGATTGACGAAATGTTGAATGAAAAATCGATATTATAGCTTACGTGCTTACGAGAGTCGAGGAAATTCAATTAAAGTGTAATTAAGCTCCATGCATAGAGTCCAACTCAAGATGCAAGTCACGAGCCACAAGCTCTCATTTTCTAATAATGAATCGCGATAATCGATAACTTCGAGTCAATAAATAAATTCGATTCAACGAAATAAGTTCGATTCATAATAAAAGAAAACTAATCTATGCTTAACGAAATATCATAACCATGGCTTGTTAATATTTGTTGTTAATAGCAACATAACGATATATAACGAACGGGAGAACTTTCTGCTAGACATATCATAAATAAATACGCCATAACCCTCTATATGGCTATAATAATGATGAGAACATCGATTCAAAAGTTCGAAAAGTAACTTTTCTTATACAGTAGAAAGCAAGTAAATCGAGTTAAAAATTGTATGCACGATTGTGAATTTACATTATATGTAATTTACATGTAACTTTTTATGCATATTTTTGTTTGCTGACGCAAAAATCTATAAGTTATAAGAATTTTACCATAATTAATTCATGATATTGCGACAAATATTTGTACTGATTTCGTGTTGCGCATAAATGAGCTTTCAACCGTCAGTTAGCATATATCACAGAATTGAATTAAAAACAATCTGGTTCCATAGAATGTAAGAACCAGAATGTTTTAAAGAATTGTCAAAATATTGTAAACTTGAGATATTTGCGAAAACCATTTTCTTGTTAAACAGTAATGGTAAACATTATAACGAAAGAATCATACATTGTAAAATCGGTAAGATCTCACGTGTTAACCGAGACGATCTTTAAACCTTAGTTGGATCATAACATCACAAGGATTTCTGAACTTAATTTGTCTTTGATGGTAAACAAAGCAAAGAGGTTAAAAAATTTTTTCTTCTCTCCGAGCAGGCGTGAAGTTACGCACAACTTCTTTTATGTTGCTTTCCGCGTAATGGTTTCGATAATAACACTACTAGAGTTACATCTTCATAGGAGCACTTACGCAACACGTAAGTCGCTACGCCTACTTCCGGACCCTGATAATTGTTATTGGTGGTTAGCAGAAAACTCTTTTGTGCAGGAGCAAATGAAATTAAAATCATTCACAAAACAACATATGGTCGCGTACCACCTGAAAGGTAATTTGCGTGCAACTCCCACTTGCCAACGCATATGATGCATATCACAGTTTGAGAACCCCCTGTTCTAGAGCCTAGACGGCGTGCCGCCACCAATCCCAAAGTTTTCCCCTGTGATGTAGGACGCGTCGTCCGATGCCAGGAAGACGGCCATACCAGCTACCTCGTGAGGCTCTCCAGCCCTGAAAAATTTCAGGAGGTTCGATCTGAACGTGAAATTAAGAAGCAAATTGATCCTAAAATTTGGATCTTAATGAAAAGCATAGGAATGATTATGGCATATATGAAAAGCTAACAGTTACATGTTTTATACTGCTTTGCACTTGCCTGCGCATAGGTATGATCGGGAGTATCCTGTTGTAGATTTCTTTGTCCGCGTGCAACTGAAAAAAGTATCTCGTCAATATTATGTGCAGAGGCGATATTTGTGCAACGGCTGTTATGAAGAATATTAGTTCATGAAAATGAATTTACTTATATCAGGCCCACACATATGAGTAGACAAGCCATAGCACGGATGAGTTTCTAACTACACTATAGAGGGTTAGTGTTTACTCTCTCCAGGAAGTCTCGTGAGATACACTCACCACTTCGCCAAAACGGGTTTTGATGAGACCAGGCAGGAGGCAATTCACCCTCACGTTGTCAGGAGCGAGTTGCTGAGCGACCATTTTACTCATGCTCAGCAGGCAGGACTTACTGACGAGGTAGCCGCTCACCGCCTGTTAATTATTAGCAATAATGATGCTAATATTATTACTAGATATAATTTTTTCAGCCCAACAAAGGTAACTGTGTAAATTTGAATTCCACGATCCGTTTGTTTTGTCTAGTTTGTTGATAACCAACAATGATTGATGAACAATGTGTTCAAATACACACAAACAAAATCAGCCTATTGAATAAAACACTATTGAACATTTCCCGTCTCAAATAATTTAAAGTCTACCTCAGATTGAAACCGTTAAACTTTTACATAAAAAATATTCCATCATTTGAAGAGTAGTAGGAGATACGTGCATTGTGAGGAATGAGTTGACCAAGAGTCAATATGCTGCCTACGTAAATGATGGACCCTTTCTTCTTCTTCTGCATGTGCGGCGCGACGAGTTTCGTGAGCGCCCACGTGCTCTTCACATTAATGTCGAAGAGCTTGTCCCACACTGACTCCGAACACTGCACACAATTTGCACCGTTAGTTCGAAATATTTCCGCTCGAATTTTAAAATCTATGCACAATTATTGTGCAGCTCATACTTCACTATTCTCACGCACCTTAGACCACGTCACTACGCTGCCAGACGCTGCCGCTGAAATTTACAATGCTCTCGCCCAGTGTGCCGAGTTTAGAGTTGGAGCGTCCGTGAACGGGCCTCTTAAGCAATCTCCTTCAACGAAAAAGTTTGGAAAGAAATATCAACAACATTTTAAAATACAACAAAATTTAAGTTGGAAAAAATATAATATTTTGATCTTCAAAAAAAAAAAAAACTTGAAATATCCATGTGTATCCTCTCTAAATAACGTTAAACAAGTCCAAGTGTTTGATAAAAAATCCAGGAAACTGCGCAATTGTGAAGGATTTTTTGGAGGCGTAGCACAAAATTTTACTAAAGGCAGAGATAATCTAATACTAGCTTTAGTATTATTAGGAATATCTTACCAGGACTCCTCTCCACTGTCTACTAATTGGCCGACTAATCTAGGCTCAGTGCCTAGATTAGTCGGCCAATTAGTGCCTACTCCCTATGCGCTCCACGGTGCCTGAACTCGTTCCGAACGCGTAATAAACTCGACTCATATTCGTACGGTTCCCATAAGTGCCATTGAAGCCTTAGTTAAGACTTAAGAGTATCATTTTTGACTCAATACTCAGCCATGCATACATCGACAGGTTTGCGATGTTTGTCGGACCACTAATTAACTGCCATGTCAGTTAGTCAGACAAATTTTGCTAAATCTGCAATTAAATCAATTTAACTGGTAACTGTCTATGGCCCTATTAGCAATAGAGGGCTAACTTGTCATTCTTCAGCCCATGTTTTCGAAATGATTCGCATCGTAATCGAAAAGCTTGTTTTGTCCTAAATAATTAAGACAAATCTCGTCTCATCTCGTTTCAAATTTGTCTGTCTCGTCCCGGTTCATAATTTACCGGGACACAAATTTTAAAGTCCGGGACAGAAGTCTTGTCTCGGTTTATACGTTTATTCCGGGACAAAATTTACCCTCTGTCCCGTTATTTTTTTCCCGGAATTTTCTCGTCTCGTTTCGTCAGTCCCGGTTCATTTCGAGAAAGTTATTTCGAGACGCAGGAGTCTAATTCCTCCCCACCCTCTTCTTGAAACCACAGCATTCCTTTCGCGTTGATAGTAGAGGAAACTTTCAGCTAACTTCCAAAATAACCAGTGATCTTTTTTTGGAAATCATTCAATAAGTGAACAGATTAATGTCACGAATGTTTTTAAAATGATTTTATCGACTTAAAACTATAGTTTTCTGACTTTCTTCAATGCGCGAAAATAGTTTTGAGCCGGCTATTAGTTTTGAACCGGCTATTAGATCGTAGTTGCAAATAATCATGAACAGTCTGACTGATCAGAATAGACCAGTGGATACTGTTCGCAGTGCACTGAATTTCTTCCATCGGCAGCAAACGGTTTATCTATTAATGGAAAATAAGCCGCTGTCTGCAGTGAAGATGAGAAATTTTGCGGTAACTTTGGATATCGAGAGATTTTAAAAAGTAATGAAAATGTATGCCTCGACGTGTTGACATGAAATTATGGTATTTATGCTCGAGCATTCGTAGTAAATCGTTGGATAATTACAAGTTTTGTTTATACTGTCAAAGTTATGAATAACTCTGTTCTGGGTTGACAGGCAAAACCTTGAATGGATCTGTCTGATCTACTAATTAGACGTAGATAGACCTGAGGGGTTTTGGTTCATTTATAAATTGTCCGAATAACAGATTAAATACTCATCGGCCAGGGAAGGATAAATAACAAGTCGTGTATCTAAACATGGGATACACTCGATAGAAGTTACAGGATCAAGCACAGTATGTGCAGTAGATTGGGAGATAGAGTTAACGACACTACATATTGGTCTGAGTGCCGGAGTCTGCATGACTGCAGCTGAAGGCTGACTGCCTAAGACTGAGACTCTGCTGGGACTGACTAAACAGTGCGCTCTGAGAGCTTATATACGCGGTGACCCGCGAATAGTGACGTCACAGAAGGTGACGTAATAGTCAGTAATGACATCACAACCTGACAATACAAATTTTAGGCAATAATGGAAGCAAAATGAATACTAAGTTTTTATCAGTACAAATGGTGACAGTTTTTTATCGAACGTTGCAGCCAAGTAATTCGTAAGTTTCTCATGAGCTGCAATCCATTCGAAGCACGGCAGTTCATGGTGATCTCCGACGGCGTCCCCGGTGGGGAGCGCAGCCGTGCACCACCAATTTTGTGCACCAATAAGCCCTGAATCGAACGCCTTGGATCTCTCCGGATATCCACCAATCAGCCGTGTACCACTCGGCTTTGTCCTCCTCCGGCCTTGACCACCACCTGCCGTGCACCACCAGGCCGCGGATCGAATCTGACTTCCGGGCATCGTTAAATTACGCAATTTTAGGTTCACCGCATCTGAGGTTAGGTTTCAGATAGCATACTTTTGTTCCAAAATTTATCGTCCTTCGACAAGTTGCCGTTCGACCGAGGGCTGGTTCGACCCACGGCCTAGATACGGACGGCTTGAAGTGTTGAAGGCTACGTTCCGGAAGGCAGGAATCATGATGGTCCATTACATCCAGGGCAGTGGTGGTCTTCGGCAGGCGACCCCGGTTCGACCCACGGCCTAGATACGGACGGCTTGAAGTGTTGAAGGCTACGTTCCGGAAGGCAGGAATCATGATGGTCCATTATTTCCTGGGCAGTTGTGGTCTTCGGCAGGCTACCCGTCCCAGTGCAGGTACGACTTTTTCTACGGAACGTTACGATACGTCCTGCAGAAACTGCGGTCGTGTCGGACACTATACTAGAGAATGTAGAGAGTTGAGAGGCGAGTGTTTCATTTGTGGATCTTCAGAGCATTATATACGACAGTGCATGGCGTACAGAACAAGTGGAACCAGGAGAGAGAACGAGAACCAGGCAGCATCACGACCACTGCACGACCATCGCCCGCAAACCGAGGAGTTGAGCTGTGCCGGGATAAATCCCAGCATTAGTTTTAGTTTTAATATTTTCTAGTATCCGCGTACACGGACATGCGCGTTCTGAGTTACTCTCAAAATTTTGGCGGTTGAGAAGCATCGATGGGTCCCCTGCCACAGGGATAAACAAACAAAATGACTCGTAGGGAAAGCAAAATCGTGAGTAATTTTATTGTGATTTATCCTTTTCATCTTCTAAAAGTGTACTAATAGCAAATTGTATGTAATGTGACTCAGCAAACTCGTTTCTACCAAACATTAAATTGATAGAATCCTCCATGCACTGCAGTGGCCAGTAGCTCAACTTTTTCTACGCAGTATTACTTAGCATATGTGACTGTATTTTCTAAGAAGTCTGGTGTAAAGTTCTCTCAAAACTCGTATATAAGTTAGCTACTTCCTGATAACTTTACATCATTTTTATGTGTAAATTTCACCTGACTTATCCGTGATATGAGCAGGGATGTTCAAGTGTTATTTACTATTTCATGATCTTCTATCTTGTAATGACGCACAGCCTGTAAACTAAGTGCCGCATCATTGAAGCCGGTTAACTCTTCTGAATGATCTTGATATGTCGTCATTTCCTAGCAGTTTTGCCCATTTATAACTTGTGTTTGTTTTTCTGAAACTGCTTTTCTAGCTTACTGCACAATCAACATGATTGCGGGAATTAATCGAATTGCCTGTGAATTATGAATCGATTACCATTTATAATTTCCTTTTGTGTATCTTGATCAGGCAGTTTGTACTGTATAACCCTGAGCGGAACTTTTCCTTGACAAAATATTTTCATATTTGTGTTATACCTAGGTAGAAATCCGAATACATTCTCGAGCGCTTTAAATTGCTCAGTCGTTGCCGACTAACGCTCAGAAGAATTACCCTTAAGACTAATATAAGTTATCCTCTCTTACTCTACTCTGTTTTGCAGAGCACTCATGTGAGTATGAACTCCTTAGAAGATGTTAAGCAAGAAGTCTGTTTCATTGATACCCATATGCGGCTTCTGGCTAGAGGCCGCGACACGAGCCAACGCCAACCCAGATGCAAGACGACCGGAGTTCGAATCCAAAGCTGCTGCTCAAGAAACAAAGCTAGAGCGTCAACGTATACCAAATTCCAACAAAGGCTACCTTCATCTTCGCAACAGATTTTCAGGGCTCGTAGATGATGCGGACCAAAATGAAGTAGGCATCAACTGTAACTGTGGCAACGTCCGCAGCCACGTGAACAGCAACCAAAGTCATACGACTTACTACGAAGGGAATAATGAGCCGGCATGTGAGACCACGAACCAGAGACACAACCATCAGCAGGGCGAGCCTGTGCCTGCTGTCGAACAGCCTTCGAACGCGCACAGTAGCAGTACTCGTGTGTCCTAATTACACGTGGGTGACCCGAGCGCGCCACAATGTGATTGCGAGTCCCAAAACCCTCAGGTGAATATTTTTTGTCTAGATCCCGCAAATATCATGTGCTTGTTGCTTAATGTTAATGTGACTGATGTCTTCCTGAAGAAGACTCCGTCATATTTCTCAGCCGTTTCCACTGGACTAACTAAGCAAAAAAGGATTTTAGAGTAAGCACGATAGCACAGACACGACTTTCTTTCACCACCAGATGTTTGAAACTCGAGTGTTGTATTTTGAAATACTCAGCAGAATCTACCCGACCTCAGTTCGCAATTCCGGTGTTCACAACAAGTTAAACTCTTCTGCTTGATCTGACTCCAAAAGATCTTCATGTAATAATTCGTCAGTGGTCAAGGATGCAAGACTTATTTACTCTAATTAATTTCTTTATTTCACTCAAATATTCAAGCTTCCCAAAAGTTGACCATCGAATTAATTATTGCCATTCGCAACGTTAAAATTTTGCCACCGTGAAAATCTATTTCGACTCGAAATTAAGGCTACTGTCGGTAAAATAGCTACGAAAATGCGTTGCACTCCAAAATTTAAAGCTCACAAATAACTATCGGACTACCAAAATTAACATAAATCAGACACCACAAACTCCAAAACTACAACGAAATCAAATCTCACATTGAACGTAAAGTGAAAGATGAACTGACTAATAATAATTAATTGTGTTTTCCGCGTTACTTGCAGGACAGAGAAGATTTTGAAGTGACGTTAATTCAATGCCCAATTGATAGTCTAAGGAATTCGTTAAAATTTAGAAGCATGTGATATTTATAAATAAATTCTCATTTATGTTTGTGAATTTTTTTTTGTTACTTTGAATACATGATAGTTATATAGTGTCGAAAAATGTGATTTCTAAATTGGTATGTACCGACAAATTTTATTACAAATCGCAAATAGTTTTTTAACACGTTTTTCTTAGCTTAGCTTCGCCTTTGTTTGTTTGTTTGTTTATTTGTTTGTTTGTTTGTTGTTAACATTGACAACGAAAATTAGCCCACTTTTGATTGTTCTAGAGATCTGAAATTCGGCATGCAGGCTATTTTCGCCTAACAATTTCAGATACAATCATAAAAACTAGTAATTAGAGACCGAAATTAGTTTAATTGAGTAAAGTATATATATAGTATATATAGTGTGCTTTTCGCTTTAATCATAAATCTGCCCGACACACGTTTTTTTGGGGCGAACCATAATTTATTTTCTACTTTTTAGTCCACAAGAAAAACGTGTTTTTTTAAAAAGTTTTTTTAAGTATTTTATTTTCTACTTTTTAGTCCACAAGAAAAACGTGTTTTTTTAAAAAGTTTTTTTAAGTATTTTATTTTCATATTTAATTACGATAGTCGAATTTTAGTTTCATGTTCTAAGTAAAGTGGGATTATTCTTCCTCTTTATTTTATTAATATTTTTGTTTTGGATAAATTTTTTGCGAAAGTCATTTATTTTAAACCTCGGCATGCATGTATCGGCAAGTTACCGGGCCGTGATCGTTATTAATCATGATCTTTGCATGTAAGGAAGCTATGGTATCCAAGCAGCTACGCAATATGTAAGATTAATTGTGAATAGATTTAATTTATCTAAGTTCAACTTCAATAATAAAATACTTGAAAATTTATAAATTGAAAGTCCGAGTTGCTTTGATGAAGCAAGCTAAGGTCAGAGTGAAGACTAGGTGCATGTCTGTAATGTACCTCGCTAAGTTCTATATGTATGTATTATTAAAGTGAATATATCTACTGTGATATCACCAATAAATTCTTTTCTTATTCAAAGAATTGCTGCCATTTAATTTGTTCCATTGATCTATTGTCCTATAGTATAAGAACTAATCTTTCTTAGTTCAGGTTTGAGAAAATCATTGGAATCGTTCTAGAAAGTTATAATTTAACAAAATCTAACAGAGCTGCTAGCAAGTTTTGTAAAACCTGCGCAGTTATTGGTGATTGAAATGGAAAACTCAAATTCAAACTTATGCGAGAGGAAAGAAAAATTAGAGAAGGCAATTCTGAAGAACTTCTATTTAGTTGTCTACAACGGAGAAACTACGTAGACATAACTAATATATTTCTTTCTGCAAAATAATTTACAAAAAATAGTAGATTGAATTTAGTGGATCTACAGAAAATACGTATAGATTTATAAATAATTCCCATGGTTGTATGAAGCGAAGGTTGTATGAATTATATATGCAATACAATAATACAAATAATCGTATACAATACATTGGGGCTGTCTGAACAAAGGCTAAGTCCACGAATTGTCACGATTTGACGACCGGTTGTTGAATGGTAACATCAATATTTCACAAAATAGTCTTTAGTGACATTCTGTTTTCCACATATTAATCACTGTAAACTGTTAAACTGTTCGTAATATTATTAGTTGTTTATTGATCACATTCAAAAATGGCATTAGAGTTTCGCTTTACAACAACTTAGTAATAGTATGTAATGCAAGCGAAACAAACGTACAGACTTTCAAAGAGATTAATTTCAACTTATCAAAATAGAAGAACGATGGCAATTGTTAATTCTTTGCAGCATTGATATGACGTCTTCGAGGTTTCATACTGACATACTCTAATTGCATTAGCTGCCTTAAATAAGCAATTGTTCATCAATTAAAAGAAACATTTTCCCAAAATATATCCAACACAGCAGCTAACAAACAATTTCTTCGTAGCAAGAACTGTAAAATTTGTTGTTTTAGATGTTAGCATTTGTATTACATTTTGATACCTCAATTTCATAATCTAAAATATAATCTCACCCATTTTCTAATAATCATTTCTTTCAGTAGGAACAATATTTGATCCTCGGCATAAATAGTGAGCAACATTCATTGAGAAACATGAATATGAATACTTGGAGATTTTAGACTTGAAATGAGCCTCCGTTCGCCATATTCACTAATCAGAAGCTGTACATAGCGAAGAATAAGGATATTCATTATACATATTCATTGTGCCGCTACTTGTACAAGTAAAATAAGTTATGTCTACAGTGTGTCTAACACGAGAAAGACTTCACGTTCCCATGAGTAATCGTCACAATATTTTTATTCATCTTAACAATATACAATCCGGATTACCCAGCGTGTCCACGAAATCTCGAATACCGTCATGAAAACATTTGAATTAGTGTCACAAATGAATTCAACGCGTAACGACTTGTTCATAATGGAACGTTAATAATTTATCGACAATAGAGACTGAATCACTTAACATTTAAAAATATGAAATGAACAGTCATAAAACTAAACGCATCATTAGTAGAATATATCAGGGTAGACGCGTTATACAGACTGTACGTAGCATACTTAACCATCTTCAGGCATACATAAATAAAACCATAATGCTCTATACAATCCCAATTCACTTTTCATTGGAAATCTTAAACCTATCCTCCATTTCGTGACTAAATATTACTTAAATTCTCGTCGTAAAGATTGTCATTCAGTATTAGGCAACTCCTTGCATTAATTTTCGAAGTATTTGAAATATTTACAAAAGAAATTTCTTAATTGAGACCAACTCGAAACAAACCTACTTTAAATTTGGCTATCTCTTAAATGTATTGCTTGTAAATTAAGGAAAAATAAACAGCGAGCCTAAATACTCCTGCAATAGCAGAGCCAGCGGAGAACTGTATTGTTTTGTATATGAAGTTCTCACTAATTAAATAAAACAAATAAAAAAACTTTGAAAGCCACGTTTTCTTAACGGAAAAAAAAAGAAAAACATTTACTCTTACATAACATTACATAACATCTTACATAACTAAAATGTTATGTATGAGTAAATGTTTTTCTTTTTTGTCCGTTAAAAAACGTGTTTTTTAAAAGTTTTTTATATGTTTTATTTCATTATTTTTAGTTTTGTAAAAACCAGAAAAACGTGGTTTTTTAAAATATTTTTATATATATTTATTTTCTACTTTTTAGTTAGCAATTTTAGCAATTCAGATTAATTTCCAGGATTGGCAAGTGTGGATATTCGCTAAAATACTCAATTCCAAACCGTGAAATTTTAGTGACTTTTTAATTTTTTCTATTTTTTCTTTAAAAAAAAATTTTAATTGTTATTTCTGATGATCAAATCTTGAATTGTTAGGGAGCATAAGCATGCATGCCAAATTTCAAGTATCTAGGATGTTCAGAAAAGCTCTAAATTAAGGTTTGAATTTTTGATGACAGACAGACACGAAACGAAGTCAAGAAAAACGTGGTAAAATATCGCGGTTTCATCGATTTGGCGCTCTGTCATTCCGTTCAAAAATGTTCCACGACCATAAATCCCTGATATCTGTTATCAAAACCAATATGGAAACACCTTAAAAAATCGACATATTAAATTGCATTCATAGTTCATACTTCTCAGAAAGTGGTTTATTTAAGAATTAAAGGATGACTAAAAAATATTGAACTTGTCTGAATTTTCAGGCGTAGTGTTTGGGACTGACGTTAAGTGGAACATTAACGCTTCTTCTCCTGATGTACGGGAGTTTGGGTTCCCTCCACTGCTCAGGGACAGCGAGAGTACAGCACTCCTTATGGAGGTACCCTGAGCACCCGAGGATGGGGGACGCGAGGGTGAGGGAGGTTTGGTGTAGTCCAGGAGCTATGTGGTTGAGGGGAGACCGCGCCATCGCCATGGAGGACGCGATACAGGGCAGATGCGACGAGTGGCAAGGGTCGTTGCTAGACAGCGAGTACGGGTCCAGCGTCAGCAGGTCCCCCCTAGGGTCCACGGAGTAGGACGGTTCTCCTGTGGATGTCGTGGTCGAGTAGTTCCAGTTGTTGGGCAGGACTGTGGCGACCTGGCCGTCAATTTTGCCGCCATCGTGGTTGCCATGTCCTGATACAGCGTCAGCGCTGCCCCGCCGTCTGGACAGAGGCGTGTCCTTGGTGGTGATGTAGACGAGCGGCGTGTCCCCCGTCAGGACCTCGGCGCTGATCCTGGACGTCAGCGGACTGAAGGTGCCGGGCAGCAGCGGGGCCAGGGCAATTGGGTACGATGACGCAGGGGCCATGCGCTGTCATTGAGGTTATCAAAAAATATATTCAGGTAATGAATGAATAAATCAATTTTTGTGTTTTAGTTTTAGGGATTACCCCTTCAAATATATTTCATTGAAGAGTTTCGTCCCGTAATCAATTTGATAAACATTTAAGCTCGCTAAATTTACAGGTTTTATTTAGATCGTTATTTTATTTATATAGGTTAGTGCTTCTCAAACTATCACTGTTAAGTTATTTTATGGTAAGTAATAATAAAGTAAGAGTTTAGGTTACAATAATTAGTATACGAATAAATCCATTTTATCCATATTTTCTAACATTATATCGTAAGAAAATTTTGCAAAGTACACCCTGAGATTTTCTTTCTCAACTTTATGAGAGAAGTTTGTATTGATTAAAAAGTACGACTGACGCATGAAAATATTAATATCCCTACTTTGGTAAATCTTCATGATCTGATGAGAGAACATAAAGTGCCTTCGGAGAACACAAAGTGTCTCCGAAGTATAAACATTATTCACATTTCGATTGTTTCAATTTAATCATGTATGTAATCAATAATTTACTTCTCAATTAATATCCGGACGAATAATAATGTGACTAATAAAGGTTCTCATCAGAACTTTTGAATTTAAATTCTAAATTCTTAGTACGCCAAATTTAACAAAATATTTGGTGCAATATTATTCACCATAAATAAATTATCAGGACAATATCTGATCACCTGCAGCAGAGTGAGGGGTGGCGGCCTCGTGGTGTTGATGCAAGACGCTGTGGTGTTGCCACGAGGCCGAGGGAAGCACGGAGACCGCAAGAGTTTGCCCGTGATGCATCCATCGCAATCTAGAGGGAAACTTGGTATGAAGCAACCATGGTAACGGGATGAATTTATATCGAGAAATATGCAGGAGACTGAACATGGCTGGGGATATATGCCTAATATCGGACAGCCTCAACACATGTGGCTTCAAGATGAAAGTAATAGAATTTTGAAGATAGATGAAAAAAAAACATATTTAGAGAAAACAGGTTTAGAATTGTAGAAGAAGCTGTCATCTACTGGTAGAGATAATTATTGCGCCTGTGTCTACAGTTGGAAGCAATGATTATGGAAGCAAGGGCAGCCACTATCAGCTCCCTGATGCATGCGTTCAGTGTGCGTAAGTTGTACGATAAAATACTGTGTTACTCACCCGATGAAGATTCGATGGAAGAGCGAAGAAGGCAAGAATTGAGGAAGAAAAAATCAGACGGTGAAGGAAAGACAAGATCGAGAAACTCATTGAAAACTAAGATCTAACATTGGAAAAATACAATATCTTAATTTGATCTTCACCGAAGAAATTCAGAGCCTATGTTGAAACCTAAGGCTCTATACATTCATCGTATCACTCGCGACCACCTTAGGTCATCGCTCCGACACTTTGGGGTCGAATTTTCATGTTCAGGTTTTCCATGAATAGATTTGTTAAATCGAAACAGATTTGGACCAAATAAAAAATGCTGTTGATTCAAAATATGCTCCTGTGGGAGATGTCTCAATGTTTTTGTTCACTTTATTTGGCGTACTAAATGCTAATTCTTAGCCCGTTTTCAACACATAAATTTTCAAATCGATACCGATTTTGATTAAGTTACCAACAAAATTATTTATTCAAAATAGAATCCTAAGAGCGCTGTCAGTCTTTTTTAGCGCTTCGTATTTATGTAGCGCGCTAAACGCCAAAGTTTTTGCCTCCTTTCTATCGAAATTCGTCCCAAATGTTCCTTTAAAATTTTAGTTCCAGAAGCGATCGCTCCGACATTCGAAAAGAAAAAAATTTCAAACAGTGGTATAAATAGCAATTTTTCATAGATAAGATGGGGAAGAAGACATTCATAATCTAATCGTGCCTATTTCTGAAATACCTAGTCACCCATCAAAATATTGATGAAAACGGTCAACATATAGAGAAAAAAAATCTTTGGCAAACGTAAACTTTTAATCTATGATGGAAAAGATTTGTTAAATGATTTACAAGCGGAAGTTTATTATCAGGTTTATTTGAATCAATATATCTTGTAATAATAAAATGCAATGAAAAGAACTAATAGCCCAGAATTTGAGGAATACTCCTGACTTGTGCAAATGAGAGGTTCTTAGATTAATTATCGTTTGTCATTCTAGGAGCATATTGTGCGAATTTCACGAGGAAACTGACGTCAGAGATGTGAAAACATCAGCAACTGACTAGCGGGATGCTGAACTCGGTGCATATCGATATATTTTACCTAAGTTGCAATAATAACAATTATTTTATAGAACAAACAATCTATAGAGCTGCACTCATGTCTAATTCGAACACTTAGGTGAAAATGCTAGGACTACATATACGTTAGAGAACAAAATTTGCACACACAGTTATTGTAAAAGATACATAGATAAAATTCATACGCTTAGTTATAGGGCGATTATATATCGATTTTTTGCGTGATAGACTGTATAAGAGTTTGGTTTGTTGTTCCTGCCAAAATTGTGTGTGCCTGTGGCAGAATAATGTTGTCTCTGGATGATACTTGGGAAATATCACGACATAGGGAATTCCTCCATCTTGTTTGACTACTGCTGGAAATAATTTTTGTATGTCAAGGCCTTGATATCGAAATTAAAATCATAGTATGATCAAAAGGGAGTCTGAAAATTTGCCCATAGGTATTACGCGCAAAATGATTTATTTTTCGGAAATGGTCCAGGTGATCGCAATTACTAATCGTGTTTTCACCGACACGGAACTAGCAATCGTGGGACTAATCTTGAGACTGTTTTCCAGATTTTCGGCAGAACCTGCATCATAGTGTCGACAGCCTCCTCGATTACATCGTTAACGCTCCGAGTATGAGCGCGTTCTAGAACAGACTAGATAAAGCAATGGAGAAATATATGTTCAGACTTGAAATGCCTAGCACCATATCGAACCCGGTGGAAGTTTAGTAGCTATTTTAAACTATCGCCAGCTTGGAAAAGATCCGGTTGAAGGTCCAGTTGATAGATCTCCTGTGAACAAGTCACGAAAATTTCATGAATCGGCGACAGGCCACATCAGGCCTATTCTTCAGCGCCGACATTACTGTGTTATAGTGAGTCCGGGGTCGTAAATTTCATCAATGTTTTTATTTTAGCCTGGCAGTCTTTAAATTGCAGCCGAACTCCTCACTGAGTCCTCAGTATCGTAGAACAGCGTTGCGATGTTTGATAATCCAGTCCTAGATCGTATTTTTTTCCTATAGCACTATGGGTCAACACGTGAAAATGAATTATTATCAACTGAAGAGAGCGGCCAGTGAACAAGTTACACAGAGTGAAGTTGAAGTACAGAGTGAAGTTAGAACCTTTTTTCTGAAGAAATTGTACTAAATTATTTTTCTTATTTGGTGTTTCCATGTCAAAATAGCTCATTAATGAAATTTTATTCATGATTTAAAAATAAGTAAATCTTTGACAATTAATCTTAAGGAAGATGTTTAAAAGTGTTTAAAAAATAAATAGAAAAATAAAGGTATAGTTTACAGCACCTCTAGTTAGGTTTATTCGCATGCATCAAATTCACAGCGTTTTGATATATTATTTTAAATTAGGTGATTTAAAGATAAATTATTAGTTATGACTAGCTCAAGCTGCGATAAAAATTAATATTAATTTTTATCTTCACATGCTAAGCTCATCACGAAAACTGTCAATTGGTTTCCGATAACGTTCAGCAGACATAACAGTACGAACAAGAGGGAAAGGATGACTCATGATTGAAATATTATTAATTCAACCATGGGATGACTTGCATCGAAGAGTGAACAAGTTTGGTCCTTATCACATTAGCAAAAGCTGTGAACCCACACAGCGCGATTACATAGCATCGAACAAGGTTATACTCATGTTACAAATGTAACACATGAGCTCATGTTGTAAATGTTATGCATGTGCATATGTTGTATATTCTGCACTTGTTATATTGTTATGTATGTTGTACAGTACAGGTTGTACATATTGCACATATTGTACTCGTATAACATCTAACTTCCCAACTTCACACACTATTTTTGTCAGGAATTTATTGTGCAAAATTTAACAACTTAATTATTTTGTTGCTGTTTATTATTCATAATATTATTATTATTTTATTAAAATAGCAATAACTGTGTGATGAATGCGCCTGCGAACGTCCCACTAAGTGAACAATATTTTTAATACATATGTGTGTATAGCTGAGATAAATTAAAAGAACAGAAATTATTTTACGTTTAGGGGTAACATGGGGCAGCGGGCTCCTCTTTTTTTAAACTATTTTTTTATGAAGTTTTAATTGATACGAGGTGGTTCTTGTTTTTTTTAAGGTACAGCTAATGAGGAATGTATGATGTGAATTAGACGCCTATAGAGTTATTCAATTTTTAATGAAACACTATTTTGTAAAAAGTGTCAAAATGAGCCCATTGCCCCACCCCTGGGGCAATGGGCCCATGGGCTTGGGGCAAGGCGCCCACCCTTGGTCCCTTTACCACAATTGCATATTTTTCGTTTAAAAATGACAAAAGAAGACTTTACAGTTAAAAATAAGAAAAATGTAATAAAAAATACGACATCCATTCATTCATTAACAACTCAAAAAATCATATCCTTAACTTGAAAAAAAATATACTCTTGGCTCAAAAAATCTATCGCTGACGTGAAGAAATATATTTCATCGACACAAAAATATATATCCTTGACTTGAAATATATATACTTGCGATAAAAAATTCGTCCTGGACATGAAAAAATGTATCCTTGACTAGAAAAAATATATTTAGTTGATCAGAAAAAACTTCGTTCCAGTTTCGTCCATAATCCAGATATTATGTGCAGAGAATTCGCATCTAATCGTGATTTCAACCAATACCATAAAAACTCATCAATTTTTGGCTCATTGGCGTTGACTAAAACTTTTGGCAAGGCAAGAGTCAATAACTCGATAAGGGGTCATAAATACGCATAAATAGAAACTAAACCTGCTGCCTTGAGGCGGCAAATAAAAAAATCCTGCAATATGAAGTGTAATTTGTAATTCACAAAGCTAGTCATAGTTTTGAAAAGGTCATTGAGATAAATCAATGATGTATAACACAAGACTTCACTGTGGGGTATTGAGCCCACCATGGGTGCTTTGCCCCGTGACACGCATGGGCACGTTCCCCCATTAGGTATCATTCCAATATACGTCGTGTCAACATTTTCTTTTTGAAGCTAATAGTCCAAACTTGATCTCAAAATTATCCCTATGAATATTAATTTCAAAATATAATTCACAGTAATTTCAAAAGCTTCATCTACAGTAATCGAAAACAGTTTTATTTAGCAGCAAAAAAACTTTTATCTGGGCTAAAACAGTTATTCACAAATAACTTAATAACGCAAACTGTTAGCAAAACGTAAATCGTACACTTCATCCCAGTGAAACTGTCGACCGGCGGTAGAGAACACGGACCAATATCTGCAATACTTAGCGAGAAACCCGCTATGGGCCTTTGATCCTTAGTGGTCCCTTTGCCCCATGTTACCCTATGAATAAAAATTTTGTCCATAATAATGAAAAATAATTCTGGGTTTAATTTCTAATTTTTACGGTTTTCTATACGGTCACTAAATAATGCGACACCATAAAAGTATATTACGATTAGTCACTAAGAAAAGACTAAATATTTCGTACAAAATTTAACGGTAATATACTACAGCTAAGTCAATGATACATGGTTATTGTCAGTCCACGATTAAAAAAAGTATTTTTCTGAAATAAACGTTGCATAAGAACCGGACCCTGAGATGCTGTTGTATAAGAACCTGAACCCGAGGAGCTCCATAAGAACCTGAACCTGAGGAGCTCCATAAGAACCTGAATCTGAGGAGCTCTGTAAAAACCTAAATCCAATATATGCTGCTGTATAAGAACCTGTCTCTGGTGTTGCGTGTATATGAACCTGGGCCAGAAGTGCAGTATAAGAATTTGAATGTGAAGATCAGAGTCGTTCAGGGCACGTACATGTAAATGGTACGGAGAATCCAAAGTTACGGCTAGCTTATAATATCTTATTTAAAATATTTCAATAGGCAGCGAAAAAAGTTTAGTATAATTCAACTTTATCAACCTCGCTAGCTACTCATATATATGATGACTTTATGTATATTCACCGCACAAGAAAATGGCAGTTCAAGAAGCAAGAGAACTTGAAACCATTTCAAGTGGTGCCTTGGTTTCCGAACACAGTCAGTTCCCAAAATAGGGCCAACACAACTGAATTTTTTAGAGAATATGAATTGACGCCAACTGACTTTTACGGAATACATAATCTTCGCCCTCGCAGCCCTACTCTTATTCACAGCGTGGATCTTCCACCGATTACACATAGTGACTCGTAGTGACATGGGAGACTATTGAGTTTCGTAAGAAGGTTGGCTCGCCAGTATTTGAGTTCCAAGGCAAAACTTACTCAAATTTCTTGGTGGTTGAATGAAGGATTTGTTTGACGTTCCAAAATCGAGGTACCACTGTAATTTGCACAATGAATAAATCGTTTTGTGCCATTCACTGTAGCGCAAGACAAGTATTGATTCTATGTGCAATAATTAAAAATGATTTATTTTAAGTAAATATTAGATGCTACTATAAACAAATAAATGAATTAGTCATGACATGTTTCAGATAAGAAACTAAGCAAATTATAATATAGATTATACCATTAAACATGTTCAAGCTGACATCTTGATCATTCAACAACACATTGCCATCACAATTCTCAACACGTTAGTACTGCAGTATCTATAGCACATTGTAAGGCAATACAATACAAGTGACGGGTATTTGCATTTACAAGCACGTGGGTCGTTGTGAATGTTACTTTAGAGTTTAGATGGACCACAATACTGAATAATTAATAATAATGGTATAATAAATTAATGAAACAAATTAGGTTCTACCCTTAAATTAAACTTTTCATTTATGACGTTGGAATTCGTGTTCCCGGCTTTGGTTGTGTCTACGATTACCAAAACAATTTATGAGAATGCAGCTTCAGGTCAGAAACAAGAAGCAAGGCGGCAAGGGTAAGCAGTTTAAAGAACAATCTGGCGAAACATAGGAGCATGGTATAGCATTTGGGGAAATTAATCACATTTGGATTTAGATGAAAAACACGGTTTTATTTAAATTTTCATTCTGAAGCTTTAGTGAGTCCGCCGTAACTGTGATAAATAATAGTATTTACCGAGATATCTATCAGCATTCGAGTTTTCTGTCATTCTTTATGAGTTGCAAAGCCAAAATCAATGTAAAAAAAGGCGTGCCCGAAAGTTCGACTCAGTAAAACTTCAGTCACCATGCATTCTAGCTGCCAGAAACAAGCAGTTTTGAAACAGGCAAATTCTAAAGCCATACAACGCAAGGATTGGAGTTTTCTCTCTCATTACTGTTTTATTACATTTAGGAAACGTATTAAGTTTCGCAGAAGCGGACTTCGAAATGTGTTTCAATTGAGAACCTGTGTGGATAATCGAAGCCGAGATAAAATTGGTTATTTTCAACCGTAGGTATTTTGTGCGATGTGGGGAGAGTTTTTTGTGCTGTAATTATCAATGGGGGCAGAAAAGAGGGAACTGAAGGGGGGTTTGCCTGGAGGAGCGCCCATATTGCTGTAGAGTCCAAGGGTGCGTAAAGGAGACGGGGCTTGATTGACTCCATTACCGGCCAGTGCTGAAGGGAGAGAGAAACAGGAGGCTGTTAGCAACAGCCACCTCCCACCACTGCCAACCAGAAAAAAACAGTCGCCTCACAAACAGCAACCAGAACAAGTAACAGTGCACAGCCGCTGCCTGCTAACAGCACCAGAACTCCAAGAAACTGTTAGCAGCAGGCGCCAACAGC